GGTGACACATGGTTGCTACGTGGGATGCATGCCGGACGGCCGGACTCGTGTCTCCAGCCCAGCGGCTATAAATACCCATAGCAGCTACAGTGTGAGGGACTTTTGGACGATCGATAGGTTGTTGTTAGAGAATCCCGACCGCAGTCAGTCGGTACTCAGAGCAACCAAGTAGATTGTACTTTGGGCCTTCATTGTGATCAATAAGAGTTATTAAATTGCTTTAATTGGTCTCATATTTATTTAATTACCATATTACGTGACAATTAACACTATCATTATCTATTGAGGATGCCCTAAGATGATAAGTGGTGGGTACTCGTAGTGGGCACCCGCATCCGGTGGTGGTGGGTTTTGAAAAAGTCCACCCAATACGGATTGAATATGGGGATGGATGGAGAAAATATAAGGTGGGTCGAGTGAGGGATGTAGCCCTCCTAGACCCATTGCCATCCCTAGCCACAACTTTTGGTAAATAAAAATAATTTACAATTTTCCGTCAAATAAAATTACGTAGTTTTGATGAATTTGTACTAACATTTAATTATAATTGTAAATCAGAATTGTTTTCACATTTTATTGCATAATGGTAGGCATCAATGCATTTAATTGTGTTCACATTTACTAAAAAAAATAAAGCATAATTACAAGTTTCAATAACATTGAATTACAAATGACTTTTACAGTTTCCAAAACCAACATTAATTTATTAGAGATCAATTTCAAATTCAAAATCAATATATTACACAAACCTCTACATCTACTTCAACACTATAAATAAGTCATCATATCAGAACACCATAAATTAGTCATTGTGCTGCAGAGATGGGTTCAACTATACCGGTGGATATTATGGGGAAGTTAGGAAGTAGCCAGAGCTATTGGTGGTGTTTGGAGAATCAGGGGTAAGGATGCAGTCTTCTGGCCTCTAATGGGTTTCTTTTTGAATTAACATTTTGGTAATGTCTGGATCAAACATTTCCTTTAATAATGAGTGACAGGAAGCAAGTCTTAGATGAGGTAGATATACAGAAGTTGATTGGTCTTCATTGGTGTTGGGATAGCCATTCAGCTCGAACTTGAAAATCCTTGCAGTTGAGCTCTGCAATGCATATTGAGAAAAATTAAATTCACAGTCCACAAATGGAATTTACAATATATAAAGAGTCAATGAACATATATTTTCCAAAAAGAAAAAAAACATGAGTACATGGAGTACATATTTTCACAGTTAAGCATATTCATATTACTAGGAATACATTCACAGCATTAAAACATATTGTATAGTATGTCAATTACAAGCCTTATACTTCAATTTTTTCATTTAAAAAAAAAAATTACTAGACACTTAAAATTTTTTAGATGTTTTTTAATCAGATTGAGGTACCAACAGTGTAATTGCAATTGGATGTCAACGGTTTAGGCATTAGAAGGTAGTTTTGCAACCAAATGCATTTTTTTTAAATGCAAAGTTAATTTCATGTTGTACATCAATTGACATTTTTTTTAATTAGATTTAAATACAAAGTTAATGTGAGACAGTACATCATTGATATTTTTAAGCAAACAGTAATTTGTATATTAATTATCCAATTACTCTATAGGGATATATATAGATGCAGTCACAGTCCACAAATATTGCATATCATGATAAATCTAACTTTTAGAGTTAGGTTCTCTAAGTTATAATGTTTTTATTACTTGGCACAATATATGTTATACACAAAAAAAAAGGGTTGCTTAATATATGTTATTAAATTTTACGGGGTGTTTGGTTGGAAGGAAGGAATTAGGGGGGAAAATAATTGTAATTCAGTAGGAAAAGAATAAGGTTGTAATAAAGTAGGAATTCAAATTACGTTGTTTGGTAGGGAGAAATAGAATTATTGGAACTAAGAAGGAAATAAGTAGTATAAAGACTAAAATACTCTTGTGTAATAATAATAGTAATAACAACCAAGGATAGTAATGTCATTTCATATGTTTTTCCTTTCTCAAATTCATTGAATTGCAATTCCATCCAACCAAACAATGTAATTGAGACATCCACTGAATTGCAATTCAACTACAACTAAATTACAGTGAACCAAACGTTCTGTAAATAGTTGAATATGCAGTTCATTTTATTTATTCTCCAATATGTTAAATCATATTAATATTAGTTTGACATATTTGTATATAATAGCTATAGCGATTTATATATATATATATATATATATATATATATATAGAGAGAGAGAGAGAGAGAGAGAGAGAGAGGAGTAAAACATTGGTATCAATATTGCAAAAGTAATTTAAAATAATGGTAATGAAATTTAAACATTACTAACATAAGAATATATTATGAGTTAATAATTTGTTATAAAAAGTTATGAAAGGAGTGACCAAGTGTATGTAACATGATTCTTATACTTGAAGGTTATGAGTTTGATTCTTGATCGAGCCTGTTGCACGAGATCTTTCTAATGTAGAGTGTGTTTGGTTCGCACATGAGAATCGGAATCGGAATGAGTATCAAATACTTCGTAATGATAATGGGTTTTGATGAAAATATTTAACATGTTTGGTAATAGGGTGGAATGAGAATTGTTACTAATAGTAGTGCTTGAGAATGAATAAGGGAATGAAGTCCTTATTCTATTTGGGTATGAGTTTTTCAATTGATGGGGTATTCGAAACCCATAGTAATATCTAAAAACCTATTAACCAAACAATAACAATCACTTTCATACCCATTCTTATGGACAAAACCCATCAACCAAACACATCCTATAGTGTACACTTGGATTTTCCTCGTCATCCAAAAAAATATCTTCATCAAGATCGTTCGAAATTATATTAAGCTAATAAAATGGTAAATTATGAAAGTGACATTGTATGCAGACCCTTGTACCTAACATCAAATATTCATATTATATGTTTTATTTAATAATAATAATAATAATAATAATAATAATAATAATAATAATAGAATTGAAGTACAAGAATATTCTGCTTGCAGTACAATTATATTCCTTTTCTTTTCTGCTTAAAGAACCCAAAAATATCCATTTTAAATGAAATTTAATACTCCGTAATAAGGAGCATAATATAACCAAAATATCTTAGGGTGTCTTTGGTTCATATATGTGTTTACACACCAAGAATGATAATCAAAATCATAGTTACTGTTTGATTGATAACTTGTTAAAATATAACTATGAAATTTGATTACACCTTTTATTCAAAATTTCATTCCCTAATTAAAAACGGGTATCATTTCATGTTATTGGTAATCTGATTTTTTAAGTTTGAATTTCATTATATTATGATCAATTGCCTTAATTTTGTTGATAGAATATCTAAACTAGAGAGATAAGGGAGAAAAGTAGAATAATCTCTTATTCATCATTTTTCATTGTAAAATGATATATATACAAGATACAATAAAGACTTACCACTAGTACAAAATTGAGAATAGAAGCACCACTTTACGTGTCACCTTTATAGTGAAGGTGTTGTGGAAACAAAATGGTACAATTTTTCGCGACTCCAACTAGGAGCGGGTGTCTCAAAGCTAGGAAAATCATCCTACACAAATGATGTCCTAGGAATGATATTTCAAATTTCAAGAAGCATTTAATGATTGGTACCTTTTGTCTGCACTACAGGACAAAAAGGTTGGTTGCTTTTTGAAGCCAACGGTTACACAGTACAGCCGCATTTAAGTCTCCCTACCCAGCGGACAATACACATTGGTTAATAGGTTTTGAAATTTCATCTCCTTCCAACGGATGGATTTCTCACACCTATAAATACCTCGGTTCATCACTTAAAGAAGGTGCTAGTTTTCATCACTCTATTGCTATCAAAAAGCTTTTAAACTCTCTCAAGCTACAAGCTATTATCAAAACCAGTGTGTTTGTTAAGACTCTTTTAAAGATCATCTAGCTTTCAAAGTCTTCACAACATCAATAAATCTTGCACTGTTTATACGAAGATCAAGCATCATCAAGACAAGATTTCAAGTTGGAGATACCATTAATCATTTCCAACACTCAACTCTGTAGAAGTTGATAGAGGCGGAGGAGGTACCATAACTATGTCGTTGTTATGTTGGTCAACCCACATGCAGCAGCTTAGGGTGCTGATGCTGATCAGATGATCCTGAAACCAAAAGCTCAACTCAACTCAGAAGAGAAAACGCGAGCAAATCTTGACAACATTGCATGAGACATTTTGTTTAAGTCTCTGGATGAATCGTTGTTTCCGAGAGTAAGGAAATGCACGACTGCCAAGGAAATTTGGGATACGCTCATGAATCTGGGTGAAGGCGATGAACAGGAAAAGAAAAATAAGCTCATTATGGCCATGAAGCGATTTGGAGACTTAAAGATGAATCCAAATGAAATAAGTAAGATGGAGTTTCGGTTTATGAAACTACTGGGTGAAATTTCAGATCTAGGGAAGGAGCCAACCCGAAAAGCGATCAACCTAAAGATCCTTCGTGGACTTCCAAAATCATGGGAAATGAAGGTAACAACTATGAGAGACCATCGAGATTTGAAGACTGTTCAGACTACAAAAATTTTGAGTGACTTAAGAGCATACAAGTTTGAACACGAACCCAAAAGTACTGATGAGCCAGAAACAAGGAATATTCTAACCCTTCTGAATTTTTAACTGATGAACTATTTGCTTTGTTTGTGAGAAAATTTAAAAGGTTTATGAGAAAGAACAACTTCCAAGAGTTCCATGCATCGCCAAATTCCTCGAACTGAAAGTACACCGAGAGATCATCTCACGTAAAGAAACAAGAACCAGAGGAGGCTCAAGTGCTGTGTTATAATTGTAGAAAGGCGGGACATTTCAAGGCAAACTATCCTCATCCAATGGTCCGCAAACATTAGGACCAAAAACCTAGCACAAGTTCTCCCAACGATAGAAAAGACCTCGGCGAATCAAGCAGAAGGAATGTGAAACACGAAACCAATAAGTCAAGAAATGATAGAAGACGTAAAGAAATGGTTGTCAATGAAACCAATGAAGTGGTTGAACCAGAACTGAGTACGTCAAGCTCAAGCTCAGAAAGCGATAATTCTGAAGACGAAAAAGGACTTCTATGTCTATTCATCCAGGAAGAAAGTGACGACAACTTATGTCTGATGGCGAAAGATGACGAGGTAGTTTTTCAATCCTCTTCATCTACCCAAGTTGAATCTTGTTCAGAAAGTGAGGAAACTTGCGTTGATACGGATATGAAACTGATGGGGGACTTCAAGTTTGTGAAAAACACATAGTCTAAAATAAAGGAAGAGAACTCTCGACTCATGGTCAAATGTGAAGAGCTTAGAAACGTTAAACTCAAGACTATTGAGCTAGCAATCACCATTGACCAGTTCGAAAAACAAGTTCGTGTCCTTAAAGAGTAGTGTACATCAAGGGAGATAAGGGAGCAAAATCTGTGTGCGGTCATCGCATTGTTTACTAATTCATCTTAAATAATAGATCAAATGGTGAATGATCAAAGACCACCAGGGGAAAGAGTCGGACTTGGCTATGACCCAAGCTCTCCTTCACATATTCTGTTGACCAAACCCACGGATCCTTCTAATAGTGGAGGTTTAAAATCTATGTTCGTTAAAGGTCCAACCCAGCTACACGAGCCAATGATGCAGATTGATAAGGGTAAAGCACCACAAACAACAAGCCATTCTAAAGGAGGATATCTCCCATAGTGCAGTCCAAGGTCTCGAGTATACCTCAAGTATCTCATAACCTTCACTATTGCCTTCCAATGCGTGGTGTGACACCCCGAAATCCAAATTCGATTAAGGGATTGATTAATTAATTAACCCTATTTCAATTTGTAATCTAATTCTTTAAAATCCTGAAAATTCAATAGTCGGGGACTAGTAATTGACTAGTCAACCCCAAAGTCAAAGTTGTACCTTGAGCTTTAAAAGGGGTTCCCTTGTTTCCTTACACTTCCTTATGTTAGTAAGAGGTATTCTTGACCTTTCACTTGGTGTTAGTATTGTAAGCTAACCTAGTAGACCACCCTCATTTCTTTCCTTACACTTTCTAAATTCTAGCTCCACCTTCTCTCTAAAAAGGTAGATAGCTTTTCTTCCAAGCCAAGTTGAAGCCTTGCCAAAACTTCAAGAGTTGCCTCCAAGATTCAACCTTTCATACATTTGGGCATCTAGGAGGGTAAGATCTAAGTTCATCTTGTGCTTTTAGTATTTTCTAAGGTGTCTTTTCTTAAAGATAGGATCTTTATGATCTTTTGGTGTGTTCTTGAAGTGGGTTTGGAAGGTGAGCTTTTTTCGGTGGGCGTCCTTATTCCAGCGAGTGCCCGGCGGGCAGGCGTCTGCCCGCTGGAATCACGGGCAGTTCACCGCGGGTAGGTGGTGGGTGTTCATCCCCCCACCTACTCCCTATTGGTACGAAGGTAATTGTCCGGTTCAAGGTTGGTTCGTTCGTGGAACCCAAAACCATGTCCAAACACATTCTAACACGTAACAACAACATCACGGATTTAATTAACGAAGATCAAACCAAGAATCATTCCAATTACGTTCTAACATGATTCCTAAACATGCCAAGACTTGACATCAACCACATAACGGTTCAGGAGCATCTGGAACCTCAAGAATATCAAGAAATCTATATGCAAAGCCCTAAAGACAAGTCATAGGCTAGACTTAACACCCGATCATGCATAAACCCTCCCAAGAATACCAAGAACATCACAACAATGAGATTCACGATATAAACCCTAGGGACAAGCTCTAGACATAATCAAATACAAGATTACACATATAATCAATCACAACATCAGGATCATCAATATTATCAATTAAACACAACATAAACCCTAGTCAAAGCTCTATCACGACTCAATCACAGAATCACACATACAATTATCAAATGAGCCAATAATCAAGATATATAAAGGAAAATAGGTTTTGTAAGACATGGGTTACCTCTTAGCCCTAATCAATATCCTTGGCTACTAAGGTTCTTCTCTAACATTCTCCTCTAATTAATCTTCCTAGGTTCGGCGGTGGGGAATTCCTTTGCTAGGTTTCCTCGGGGAATGTCTTGCGTGGTAGAATTAATTGTGATAGGGTTTCTGGATGCTTTCTAATTCCCTATATATAGATTCAGGAGTCCTAATAGAATCTAAATAGTAAATGCCTACTTTCCCTATTTCTAACAGAATTAAAGACTTGATTAAGGATAAGGGTCCATGATCTATTGTGACCACACTAGTTAATTAATGGGAATTCTAGTCCAATTAAATCCTTTTTAATTATATGTTAACGGAATTAATTCCATGATTAGTCCGGATTCGGAGGCCGTAACACGGGGTGTTACACTCGCGTTGCCTGTAACCCTTGATTACAAGCCTAGCTTTATACTTCTCAATGGAACCGTCTGGTTTCATCTTTCTTTTAAAGACCCACTTGGATCCTAAGGGTTTACTACCTGGAGGAAGATCAACAAGTTCCCAAGTGTGATTTTGTAGAATAGAATCCACTTCAGTTTTAATAGCCTCTTTCCACATTGGTCCTTCCGTAGAAGTCACGGCTTCTACGTATGTTCAAGGCTCGTTTTCTATCAAACAAGATAGAACATCAGGTTCATTTTCTAATAGACAAGTTAGAGTACCCTAATCGTACTCCAACAAGTAAGTTAGAAAATCAGGACCAAATGATTTTTCAACTCTCGCCCGCTTACTGCGCCTTGGCTGGAGCTCGGGTTCTTTCTCAGATTCCCCACTATCCAAATTATCCATAGTTTCGTCAAATGTTCGTTTTGACGTACTCTGTCCCTCGCTGGACCTACAAGGAAATACATTTTCGAAGAAAGATGCATTCCTTGATTCTATTATTGTGTTCTTATGTATGCCCGGATTGTGGGACTCGTGTACTAAGAACCGATAAGCACTACTGATACAGTCCACCATCTTAGGACCTATCTTTAGTTTCTTAGGTGTTGGCACCAACACTTTGGCAAGACACCTCTACACTTTCAGGTACTAGTAGGAAGGTTTCTTACCATTCCACAGCTCATAAGGAGTCTTATCGAGCTTCTTGCGGGGTACCTTATTTAAAAGGTAATTACTTGTCAGAATTGCCTCACCCCACGTACTGATTGTAGTATATTTGCAAACAAATAATACCCAGAGTATCGGGTAATCAATCCACATGGAAGTGGTTGTATTAAGCACTAGTTACTAAATTATTCTTTGAAGCTAATCCTAACGATTGGCTGGGATGGTTGCATAAAATAAATAAATAAAATAAAACAATGATTCAGGGTAATGAAAACAATAGAGAGAGACTGAGATCCCTGGGATTCATGTGTTTAATCCCCTAGTGCCTAGCCTAATGTAATATTAAATCTGGGTTCATACGGGTGTGAGAATGCAAGGTGGTATAGAGCTACTCTCGTAGTCACTAACACTGGTGAATTTCCACTCTCGTGGCTTAAACACCCAATAAAACAAGATCAAGCATCATAAATTCTTAACTACTACCATCTCTCGATGTGCAATAATCGAGAATTAAACTGCCTAAATAAATTACCCTTTCTCAAGGTGCAACAATTATGTGCAATTATGTGTGCCCCCCAACTCTCGTTGTGACACAAAGAAAGCAAACGAAGCAAGAAACTATGACCACTAATTACAAGCATCAAACAATAAAATCACAATTGCAACACAAGTATTAAACCCAAATAATAATATATTAAAGAATTTGAGAGCTCAGGCACATAGGTTCATAAACACTTTTACCCAAGAATCTCTAATGGAATTTAGCCAAGCATGGCTAAATTATACATAGAAGATAATAATAAATACAAATTATTGAAAGAGTACAAGAATGAACCAGACGATTCTCTCAAATCTCCCTAGTCTTCTTCTTGCTTCCCAAGATAACTTGTGGCTCTTGATTTCTCTTCTTCTTGTCTCCAAAAATCTCTGAATGAATATTAGGGTTGAGGAAGGTGGGATTTTATAGTTGGAACCAAACCCGGAGAGAGTAGGAATCCCCCTAGGGTTGAGGGAAGATGAACTTTTAATAGTGGGAGCCCAATAGGGATAAAATAGGAAGTTTCCACAACTTAAATTCTCGCCCAGGACATAGGTTCGACTTTCAAGCTTATTTTGACTATTTTCCCGTCTGATTTGGACTTTGATGTCTTGATAAGAGTTGTAGCCCTTCGAGTCTTCTTTCCAATGGCGCAAGAATCACCTCAATCAGACATTCCTAGGATGAGATATAGTCCAAAAGTCGAACTGTCGCCAATCTGTGCGAGAACTTTTATGGATGAAACTTCACTGAAAATTTTCGACGCGTCGAGTCTGGATCTCGATGCGTCGAATTTGGCGCTGCATACCAGATTGTAGCCCTTCGAGTCTTATTTCTAATGGCGTAAGAATCATCTCAATCGGACATTCCTAGCATGAGATATGATCAAAATACTAAGCTGTCGCCGAATTCAGCGGGAATTACAACTCTTTGCTCTTTTGCTCCACTTTTCCTTTGTTTGATTCTTGTGATCAAATCCATTGAAAGCACCATTCTTTGGCTCCCTTTTGAAGTATTTAAGCCACCTCCTTAGCCTCATATTAACTTTATTTTGGCTCCAAACTTGTCCTAGAACTTCCCTTGCTTTTGCAATTGATCTACAATGGTTCCAAAACACTAACAAACACCGCAAAACATTCAAAACACGTGTGAACCATGACAAAATAATAAAATAAAGGATTATGCAATTAAATCACCAAAATCATGACCCTAAGCCTAACAAATATAGATAAATCAATACTATAAATGTGCACAATTAGGCTCACATCACATACTTTGAGGTAGGCCCGAACTTATAAGCATCACATTCATCATATCTTTGAATGTACGATTCTTTCGTTTGACAACACCGTTCGATTGAGGTGGGTAAGGTTCCGTACGCTCGTGTATGATACCTATACTTGCACAAAAGTCACCAATAGGTTCTTCGTACTCACCACCTCTATCGCTTCTAACCTTCTTAATCTTACGATTAAGTTGGTTTTCAACTTCATTCTTATAAAGAATGAATTTTTCCAAGGCTTCGTCTTTGCTCTTTAGCAAATACACAGAGCAATAACGTGTGCTATCGTTGATAAATGTAATAAAATATTTATTACCACCTCTCGTTTGTATCGATCTAAAATCGCACAAATCACCATGGATTAATTCTAGTGGTTCAGTTTCCCTTTCAACCGATTCGAAAGGTACTTTGGTTAGTTTTGCCTCAACACAAATTTCACATTTGTTATTTGTGTTAATTTGGAAATTAGGAATATGGTGCATGTTAATTAATCTACATATAGAATTAAAATTAACATGACCTAGTCTACCATGCCACAGACTGGAAGACTCAAGCAAGTAAACAGAATTAACTTTGCTTTTATTCACGACAATAGGCATTACATTGAGCTTAAAAAGCCCATCAGTTACATAACCTTTGCCTACAAACATTCCTAACTTAGACAAAACAACCTTGTCTGACTCAGACACCATGCGGAACCCATGCTTTTTCAGTAGCGAGCCAGACACAAGATTCTTCCTCAGCTCTGGAACATACAACACGTTGTTCAACGGCCTCAAAGGTGTTGAACATCTCTTGGTTGCAACCTAGATGCCTGGTTTCACCAGTATCGATAAACCACTCTCGTGGGTTAGAGTCTACGAGGTTCACCTCGGTCACCATAGCCGAAAGGCTAATCTCGACCTCCTTCTGATTGCTTTCTCCAACAACGTTGGCTTCAGAACTCTTGTTCTTCTTCCTTGGAGCCTTGCATTCAGATAACTTGTGGCCAGACTTGCCACAATTAAAGCATTTACCATGAAACTTTTTCTTGGTAATGTCTCCATTCGGACCTAGCTTTTGCTTGTCCTTCTTGTTCTTCTTGGAGCTTTTACCGTGCTCCACAACATCGGCCTTAGCGCCATCAATGACAGTACATCACCCGTCATTCTTCTTGTTCCCCTCCTCAATTCTGAGTCGCTGGATCAGGTCCTCTAGGTTCATCTCCTTTCGCTTATGCTTAAGGTAGTTCTTGAAGTCGTTCCACCCTGGAGGCAATAAGTGGATTACAGATCCCACTTGGAAGGCTTCACTCAGCACCATACCCTCGTCATCGATCTCATCGAAGATTAGTTGCAAAACTTCTACCTGACTTAGCACGGTATTGGAATCAACCATTTTGAAATCAAGAAATCGGCCAACTACAAATTTCTTTGTGCCGGCATCCTCGCTTCGGTATTTATGATCCAAGGCTTCCCATAGCGCTTTCGCTGTGCTAATCTTGCGATATACATCGTATAACGCATCACATAATCTGTTTAGGATGTCATTTCAGCAAAGGAAGTCCGAATCCTTCCAATAGCCAACCGACATCACGGATTGGGCATCTTGTTCCTTCAACTCCGGAACCTTCTCGGTCAAGAACCTTGCCAAGCCGAGAGTTGCCAGGTAGAACAACATCTTTTGTTGCCACCTGAAACAACAGCCACTAACTGGGATTTAATTCAAAATTTAAAAATTGGAATTAATCTAGAATTAATTCCGTAACAGTTGAATTAATCCTTCCAACAGTCAGTTGAACTGTACTGTATAGTCACGTACTGTACCGTTCCGGAATCATTGGACGTGAACCGCAGCAGAACGCACCTCGTTGTGTAGACTGTTAGACGTGAACCACAGCGCGAAACGTACTGGTAGACCAGGGCAGTACATACCACAACGCACCGCGCTGTGAACCGTACCGGTAAACCGAGTCGACGTGAACCGCAGTAGAACACACCACGTTGTGTAGACCGATAGACGTGAACCGCAGTGGAAATCTACCGGTAGACCAGGGCGGTACATACTGCAACGCACCGAGCCGTATGTACTGCGGTAGACCAAATCAATAGCTCGTTGGAAAAATAACTGCCAATTTCCGAACAACATTCCTGCCCGCAGGTGCCGGCGCACACGAACTTAGGCTTGAATCATGCCTTTTCGGTCTCATTTTGGGATTTAATTTGCACACTCCCCCTCCTGCGCGCAAGAGAGAGCCTCTATGCTATACAATTCAAGAAGCTTAAAAAGAGTTCTTGTATAAATAGTGGGGCACATGCACTTCCAAAACCAATGTGAGACAAAAGCTTCACATTTCCCTTCACTTTTGCAACTCAAATGGGTCTAATTTGAGTATCAATATCTTATTCACCCATTATCCATTTTGAGCATACAATATACCAATCTCTTCGTCTCACTACGAAGAATCCGAATCCACTTTGACCCGATCCAAATCGGAAGTGGTCCCCACTGGTAATTGTACCACAAAATAGCTACTTAAAATGCCATTTTATGCTATTTTTTTCCAACAATTATTTGTCTTGTTACTTGAATATTTTTAAGCGATATGATTTTTTTTTTCTTGTTACTTGACTGTTTTGTAGCATTGGTGTATAAATAAGCAATGGACAAAGAATGATATCAAAAGATAGATTATGTTATGAATATGAGGTTGGAGTAGAATCTTTTTTACAATTTGCTAAAAAAAAATATCGTTGATCCTAATTCAATATCATTCCCATGTGCAATATGTGGCAACCTAAGGAAGCAACCTCTTGATACAATAAGGGCACACTTGTACCGTAATGGAGTGGATGGAACGTATGTGTCATGGATATGGCACGGGGAGAAGGCTACATTAAACAACTCAATAGATGATACTGATCATCTTAAGGGAGAGGAACATAAGCTTGTTGATGAAAACCCTATAGATATGGTAAATGATGCTTATGATGAATACGTTAAGGATCCCAACAAATTTAGTAAATTACTTGAAGATGCAGAGAAACCGCTATACGCTGGATGTACTACGTTTACAAAACTATCAGCGGTAGTGAAGTTATATAACTTGAAGGTAAAATACAGTTGGAGCGACGCAAGTTTTACGGACCTTCTAGATTTGTTTGCAAAAATGCTTCCAACTGACAACGTATTGCCTTCTTCTTTATATGAGGCAAAGAGAAGCTTGGTTGCATTGGGAATGGACTATGAGAAAATACATGTGTGTCCCAATGACTGTATCTTATATTGGAAGGAGAATGCAAATTGTACTAATTGCCCTACTTGTGGAACTTCAAGGTGGAAGATAGGCAAGAATTCTAAGATATCCATAGGAGTTCCTGCAAAGGTATTATGGTACTTTCCACCTATACTAAGATTTCAAAGAATTTTTCGGAACAAGGATATATCTAAGGAGTTAACTTAGCCTATTGATAATAAAGTTTGTGATGGTTACTTGCGTCATCCAGCTGATGCACCTTGTTGGAGAACAGTAGATCATATGTGGCCAGAGTTTGCTGATGAGCCAAGAAATCTTTGATTGGCTTTATCTACAGACGGGATAAATCCCCATAGTGTAATGAATTCTACATATAGTTGTTGGCCAGTTATCATGATTACATACAATCTTCCTCCTTGGATGTGTATGAAGCGAAAATTCATGATGCTCACTTTGTTGATTTCTGGTCCTAAACAACCCGGGAATGACATTGACGTTTATTTGGCACCTTTGATTGACGATTTGAAAGCCTTGTGGGAAGAAGGTATAGAAGCATACTATGCATACCGACAAGAAAGATTCATCCTTAAAGCTGTTTTACTATGGACGATCAATGATTTCCCAACATATGGGAACTTATCAAGTTGCACTGTCAAAGGATATCATGCATGTCCTATCTGTGGTGAGAATACATATGCCAAGAGGTTGAAGCATAGTAAGAAAATGACATTCACAAGACATAGAAGATTTTTATGTAAAACGCATCCTTATCGAAGACAAAAGAAGGCATTTGATGGTAAGAAAGAATTCGACTTAGCACCAAAACCATTGAGTGGCTATGATGTTCTCAAAACAGTTGAGGGGATCAATTGTTGTTGGGAAAAAAATAGTGGCAAGCTAAATGCTAAAAGAAAAAATAGTGAATCATGTTGGAAAAAGAAATCAATTTTCTTTGAGCTTGAGTATTGGAAGCATTTGCATGTTTGGTATGTTCTTGATGTCATGCACATTGAGAAAAATGTGTGCGAAAGTATTATTGGCATATTACTTGACATCCCAGGAAAAACCAAAGGTGGTGATGCGATCCTGGTTGGCCCAATCTTCTCTTCACACTCTGACTAAAATAATATTTTAGAACAATTTATTAGGCTAGGTGAAATCTGATTAAAAGGTTTAATTTAGGTTGGGAAAAGGGAACATTTTTGGGTTTTGATAAGTCCTCGGCCACACCGGGTTATAAGGTGATACGTAGGATTTGAGACGACGCCACAAGTGAGGTTTCACACTTGATAAGTCAGGATCACCATGACTTGATCATGGTTGAACTCTCTCGAGTTCTAGAAAACACTCAGTTTCCTATCTCAAAAATACTCAACTCTATCTTTCATTATGCATGTAATGACCTTAAATAGCCATTAATTCATTATGCATGTAATGACCTTAAATAGCCATTAACAAGCAAATTACAACCACATGACTGAGATAATTATTAATAATAGGATAATCTAATCATAACCAACAAACTAAGATAAACATAAATTATAATATAATTCTAACAAACTAAATCTAAAACAATTTTAAGATAATCATCCTAATTAATTAATAAAACTAATTCTAAAATATTCTAACTTTCAATTATTGATTCTCGTGCCCACAACATTCCCTCCCTCTTTAGAGGGATTTGTCCTCGAATCCACGTTACAGGCACTGTTGAATGTTTCATGAGTCTTCGCGAAGAGACAACCGTGTTCTGATACCAAATGATGCGATCCTGGTTGGCCCTATCTTCTCTTCACAATCTGACTAAAATAATATTTTAGAACAATTTATTAGGCTAGGTGAAATCTGATTAAAAGGTTTAATTTAGGTTGGGAAAATGGCTAATTTTTGGGTTTTGATAAGTCCTCGGTCACACCGGGTTATAATAAGGTGATACGTAGGATTTGAGATGACGTCACAAGTGAGGTTTCACACTTGATAAGTCAGGATCACCATGACTTGATCATGGTTGAACTCTCTCGAGTTCTAGAAAACACTCAGTTTCCTATCTCAAAAATACTCAACTCTATCTTTCATTATGCATGTAATGACCTTAAATAGCCATTAATTCATTATGCATGTAATGACCTTAAATAGCCATTAACAAGCAAATTACAACCACATGACTGAGATAATTATTAATAATAAGATAATCTAATCCTAACCATCAAACTAGGATAAACATAAATTATAATATAATTCTAACAAACTAAATCTAAAACAATTTTAAGATAATCATCCAAATTAATTAATAAAACTAATTCTAAAATATTCTAACTTTCAATTATTGATTCTCGTGCCCACAACATTCTCTCCCTCTTTAGAGGGATTCGTCCTCGAATCCACGTTACAGGCACTGTTGAATGTTTCATGAGTCTTCGGCGAAGAGATAACCGTGTTCTGATACCAAATGATGTGATCTTGGTTGGCCCTATCTTCTCTTCACAATCTGACTAAAATAATATTTTAGAACAATTTATTAGGCTAGGTGAAATCTGATTAAAAGGTTTAATTTAGGTTGGGAAAATGGCTAATTTTTGGGTTTTGATAAGTGGGGTCACACCGGGTTATAAGGTGATACATAGGATTTGAGACGACGCCACAAGTGAGGTTTCACACTTGATAAGTTAGGATCACCATGACTTGATCATGGTTGAACTCTCTCGAGTTCTAGAAAACACTCAGTTTCCTATCTCAAAAATACTCAACTCTATCTTTCATTATGCATGTAATGACCTTAAAGAGCCATTAATTCATTATGCATGTAATGACCTTAAATAGCCATTAACAAGCAAATTACAACCACATGACTGAGATAATTATGAATAATAGGATAATCTAATCCTAACCAACAAACTAAGATAAACATAAATTATAATATAATTCTAACAAACTAAATCTATAACAATTTTAAGATAATCATCCTAATTAATTAATAAAACTAATTCTAAAATATTCTAACTTTCAATTATTGAACAGGTTACAATCATTCCCAGAAATTTTGAGCTTGTTCTGAGTGTCATATACGAACTTCATTCCTATATTCTACTATATGATCTTGTTCCCATCTTTCTACTTCGTTTAATCCATAATTTTTTTGCATTAATTAGTAACTACCCTAAATAAGCATAGATTCTGCAGAAAATTTTCAGTCTGCCCAGTTAGAGAAAAAAATTCCAAAAAAAAAATACTTCCGGGTTTCCTTATGCCTTGAAAATTTTTGTGGACATAGCCAACCTATTGTTTTTTCTGACCAAAAAAAATTTTGTCAAAATATTATTCTCAGAAATACAGAAAAATCTGTGAATCCACCCTACTGAATGAAAATTTCTGTGTATTGTTTGCTGTATTCTATACTGTCTTATGATTGATATCACCTCGATTTGCTACTAGTATTGTGAAAAAAAAAAGAGTCAAGGAAAGAAGATTGAAAAAAAAAAAAAAACAAAAGAGGTGAGAAGCAGCATTTGAATTTCCTTGTCTCATATGGATCATTTGTTCTCTTTCTTTTCGAATATTAACCTTTCTGTGAGTTTAGCCATTTTGGGTTAAGTTTCTTGACTTAGTCTTAAACTTCAAAAGAACTCCATAGGACAAGACTTGTTTTACTACTTGAGTGAATTTTATTTGTGAGATCATTATAGCGTCTTATTATACACGAGTGGTAAAATAACGAGTGATTACCCCATTAAAGAGTTCAAGTGAGGGAGTGACGTGAGGTCCAATTATCATACTTGGGGCGGGTTAGGAAAATGTCGAGTCCTAGTGAGATTGATGAGCAAGAATTAAGTCTTGACATGCATCTCATGATGAGAGCCATTAAGGGACAATTTTCTAAAATGATCGATGTGATTGAGGGGTTGAACGGTCGAATAGAGAGGATGGAGGGAGATAGGAGACCAAATCAGCAAAATGAAGGTCAAAATGAGAGGAAAAAGAGAGAGCTAATGAGAGAAGGGAAGAAGGCAGTACAAGTAAGGGAGGAGAATATGATAGGAGAAGAAGAGGTAATAGAGGATATAGGAGGGATAGAAATGAGGAAGATGATGACATTGGAAACATTAATTTACATATTCCTAATTTTACGGGTAAGAGAGATCCCGATGTTTATTTAGAATGGGAGTGGAAGGTAGACAGAATTTTTGATTGCCATAACTACCCTGAAAGAAAAAAACTTAAGATGGTAATACTAGAATTTAGTGATTTTGCAACTCTTTGGTGGGATAAAGAGGTGTTGGATAGGAGGAGGAGTAGGGATAGTGAGGTAAGGAGTTGGAGAGAAATGAAGGTGTTGATGAGAAGGAAATGGGTCCCTGCTTCATACTAACGAGAATTACATCAACAATTACAAGAACTTGTACAAGGCAGAATGTCTGTAGCTGAGTATGACCATGAGGAACAGAAACTCTTGACAAAACTTGGAATTATAGAAGAGCCTGAAACTACTATTTCTAGGTTTATAAAAGGGTTGAATTGGGACATCCAAGATGAAATTGAAATGTGTGACTACTTGGGTTATGAAGAGATGGTTCAAAAGGCCATCCAAGTTGAAAAAAAAACTTAAGAAAAAGAAACTGAGGGCTCAGAACTGGAGGTCAAGCAAAGAAGTGAAAAGAGACTTCAACCCCAAAGGAGAAGCGGGCAAGTCTGTTAACAAGGGCAAGGACAAAGTTGATATTGCTGCCAACCGGACTAGCAACACCAAATGTTTTAAATGCCAAGGTAGAGGCCACATAGCTAAAGATTGTCCTAACAAAAGAAATGTGATTTTGCTTGATTCAGGGGAATTTGAGACGGATCCAGAATCTGAGAAACCTTGTCAATGTGAAGGAGTTGAAACTTGTTGGTCTTAAATCTGACGATTTTCACACTTTCATGCAACAGTTGCTATTCGAGGTGTGTTGCCCAAACATGTAAGGTATGCTATCACTCGATTGTGCTTCTTCTTTAATGTCATATGTAGCAAAGTGATAGATGTCTCAAAGTTAGATGCGCTACAAGATGAGATTGTGACAACGCTGTGTTTGCTGGAAAAGTACTTTCCTCCATTTTTTGATATAATGGTTCACTTAACTGTTCATCTTGTGAGGGAGGTCAAATTGTGTGGACCTGTGTGGTATAGATGGATGTACACATTTGAAAGATATATGAAAATCTTGAAAGGTTATGAGCGAAATCGCAATCGACCTGAAGGTTGTATAGCCGAGTGTTATATTTCTGAAGAAGCTATAGAATTTTGCTCAGAGTATTTGTCTAATGTACAAACAATTGGGATCCCATTAACATTTCATGAAGTAGTGCATACTCGGCCTTTATCAGGTGCTCAAATGCAATCCATTAGCCAAGAGGAGTGAGAGCAATCACATCGTTATATTTTGGCAAATGATGTAGAAATAGACCAATACGCCAAGTAATTTTTTCAACTCTGTTAAAACTTCCAATATATTGTTTATATTGTAGTGGTTAAGTGACTTTGGTCAAATATCGTTTGTTAGGGAACACAAGGCACATTTGAAGGCTACATTGCATGGTAAAGTACGGACAGAGAAAGGGCTACTTGATGAGCATAACCGCACATTTATTAATTGGTTACGTGACCGTGTAAGTTGTATAACTGACTAGTACAACAAAATAAAAGTCAACGGTTTTATTATCATATAATAATTTTAAAGTGTTATCATTTTTAGGTTGGAAGAGCAATAAATGGTTCCACCCATGAAATATTAGAAAGACTAAAATGGTTGGCACATGGTCTTCGGAACCAAGTGTTAAAGTACTCTGGTTATTTAATTGAAGGAGTTACTTTTCATACCAAAGATCGTGACAATTTGAGAGCTGTCCAAAACTCAGGAGTAAGCTTGGTTGCAAATATAATGCAAGTTTCTAGTGCAAAGGATAAGAACCCCGTGGAGTCAGATATGGTATTTTATGGAGTTATTGATGAAATATGGGAGCTTGATTACCATACCTTTCGAGTTCCTGTGTTCAAGTGCAATTGGGTTGAGAATAACAATGGTATTAAAGTAGATGATCTTGGTTTCAAATTAGTAAACCTCAGTATGATTGGATTCAAATATGATTCT